ACACAAGAAAGAAGCAAATTCTACTATTCTTCTCTTTTTAATATAATATACTGTTTGTACAGTATCCCACTACACTGCAAGAGTGTTATGAATCTTGATCAAAGTATATCCTCTTATCTTCCTGCCTTGCCCTGTTTTCATTGAAGCTAGCAGGTGTCTACATTCCCAAGAGCAGAGAGCTGCGTACTCAGTATTAATACAGAGTTGGGCTACTGTGCTCTGCCTACAGCACAGAGATTTGCTCATAAGAACATAAATGTCACAAATGTGAAGAGTCCATTCAGCCCATGTACAGTAGCTTGTTTCCTTGCTAGTAGTTACTTGATCACTTATCCAGTAGTGAAAGAAGCCAAGGCATCAGTTTTGGGGACATAGGTTATCCCAGATCCCCACCACAAAACCTTTCTCCTGCTCTCACTTCATGTTTCATTGTTTATTCTGAAAAACAGCATTAGATCAATTTTGTGAATACCCTTGAGGATTGTGTACAGAACAATCAAGGGCTCAAATCTTGTTCAAGGCTAAAAAGATTCATTTTTTTATCCTGTCAGAGTAGAGAGGGAGACTATATCTGCTCAGTCTTCTCTGGACTGTTCTAGCACGGTAACTGTATAAAATATCCTAAATAAGGCCTTACTCATGTACAGTATTGTATCTTTCTTACAACATAGTGACCACAATTCTACACAATATTCTAAATAAAGCTTAAATAGCAACCCTTGATTTAAATTCCACACTTTTAAACTATTTCCTAATATTATGTTTGCCTTACCTATTGCTTACTGCTTAGAAGATGTACTGTATATGATGTACCACTTGTTTTTGTAGGTGGCCTCTTCATGCTCAGTGTTTCTCATCTTGTAATTACTGTTAGTTCCTGCCACATACTCTGAACACTGCTTGCCTCAGTCTTAAATTAGTCCTTTTGGGGTTTCCTTTGCAGATTTTCCGATCCTCCTACTTTCCTTTGTGTTACTATTAACTATAGCAGCATCTAGATAATTGATATACTGTATATACAGTATTAAAAAGAGCCATCCTAGTACAGATCCCTGTGACACTCCACCGCATCTACTGCTCAGCATTACTTGAATAGTCATCCCTTTTCTTTCCTGTTTTCTATGGACTCTCTGATTTTCGATCCAGATACTGTCACTTTTGTGGCCGCACAGAAAACTACCATCGCCCACAGAGTTTGTTATATACAACTCAAAGATGTGTCAAGGTCCAAGTTTCCCTGTCAAAATCCTATACCGTATCTCAGAGCCTGTCTTTCTTGATTGCTAATATTGCAGTTTCTACGATTGCAGAATCGTATTTCTTAAAGCTTGCAGAATAATAGGGAACCCTCAGTTTACCGTAAGAGAACTAAGGTGCACCATGGTTTACCATGGTAATTCATGGACATTTCACCATTCATTCACGGTGCTCTGCATTGGATGTATTACCTCTAGAAAGGAGGTGGCCATTGGGCAATAGAACACTCTTCCCTGTATATCACAACTTCCCAACATAAGAAACCTCTATTTCCAGGGTCCTTGTATATTAGCAGTGCATTGATTGTTGTGAGGGGAGCTCACATGGTAAGGGTGTCTAGAGGACTCTTTATACAGGTTAACAAGGTTGGGGTAAATGGGTGCACATGGGATAAGTATACATTTGCTCGTGCAATCCGATTGACTCTGAAAGCTGGGGGTCTGGGCCTGGAGTGTGCGTGCTCTGGGGGATACTGTTCAGTGTCTTCTGGCCACAGTCTCTCCAGAGGAGAGCACCAATAGGAACACCGAAAAGAAATTCATGTCGCTGCTCAGCGCAATTGCCACAAACAAATTCTGGAAGCTGCAAGGCTGTGAATTGCTGCCAGCCGAGAGTTTTAAAATATGCCATTACTCTCATAACCAAACCGGTAACAAGCTTACAGTAAATAACATGAAAAAGTCCTTCAGCATCAGAATTAAGTGTGATTCATCCTCTTTGTATCAGCTGAACTCCCTTCCTCCCTCTTGTATGGAAGATCTATATGCATACAAAGCAATTGTGGAAATAAAATGGAATGAGGTAGATAAAATAACTGAAACGTTTAGAATAGGCGCCGACGAGGTCCGCTGCCTGAAAAAAAAACAAAAAAAACGAATTGACAACCCCACTAGAAGGAACATCTCAAGGCCCGGCCAAGTCACCTCTGTCAAAAAATAACAATCAGTCGAGGCGAGGAGGGTTTCCATGACAACGGTGATCTCAGAAGAACCCAACACCTGTCAAGCTGCTTTTAACAAAACCGCCAGTCAACTTTGAAACGACACCAAGAGTGATTCGGATTACTCTTGAATTCAAAGAAAAGAGCATTCACACACACCTACATACGCCTACCCCTTGTTTTGGGAATTCGGGTGCATCTAAATCCAAGGTCTTCTCTAACATGTTGGAGATTCGAGGCTGCCAGTATATCCCTTACCTGGGAGTGCTTTAAATGAGCGTGTTCTAATACTCAGGGATAGCTGCAATCACCTGTGTGACCACAAAGTCTATTTTTGTTGTAGGACAGTCAAATGAATGCGTGGGCTCACCCAAAAAACACTGAATCTCACGATCAAAAATGCACTCTGCTTCACGACATACAATTATTAGGGAGGTAGTGAATGAGAGGAAATCATTTAGCTCCCCTCTGATTGTGGTTGGCCTAATAACCTGTGAGGGGTTGGCTTGGGACATCTCTGTGAAAGCCAATGGTGAGAGCAGGTCCTCCTCTCTTGTCCTCTGATTAGGTTTTTCTGTGAAAAGGAGGGAAGCTTTGGGTGTCAAGAGTGGCAAGGGGTTAAAATATGAATCTTGATGAACTTCCAAAATCGTTCATTTAGTGGACCAACAAGACAGAAGGCGAGATGAAAAGAGCTGCGTCTTGTGTTCCTATACCGGTGAATTGCTGTGGACTGAAGCCTTTGACATCACTGATGTCCTGTTGAGTGCCATCCATTTACTGACTGACCGGTCGCCGCACTTGGCACCCTAGGAAACCCGATTAAACCCAATTAAATACCGCTCATGTCTCGCTGCTGAAAAAAGAAACCTGATCTTAGACATTCATGTCGAAGTCACGAAACGCTTTCCATCGCTATAGCCGTCTGCCTTCCCTTCAACTGACTGTGATTAATGAGCTGTGGTTTTCATCATCATGATGCATTTAAAATGAATTTTTCTTCTTGGGGAGGTGAATTCTATCAGCAGAATTTTATGAGTGGGAATAATGAATAAGATAGATCCACACAAAAGGTAGAAATACCGACTAGCTCCTGGAACTCCTCCTAAAATGCAAAACCATAGTTTTACAGATTGTCAATATAGCAAGAAGAATTAATGTGTCAAAAACCAATCTTGTTAATCTGAATAAACAATAGTAAAGAATATCAGAACAAATTGAAGCTAAGGCATTACAGTCATCCCTCAATTTATGAACTTAAGTTGAACACACTGTTTCTAAGGTGCAAATTCGTCAATTGAAAACATAATTCACACAGGATCTCACGTTAAAGGTTCTAACTCGTTTATGACCCCCTCAGAACACCCCCAACACCATCCATGCATTAGAACAGGACACCACCCAAAGTGCCATTGCTTTAGCCTCAGAACAACTCATTCATTTGAACAAACCTCAACAGCATATGCACAGCACTTAGCAAGCAGTGAATCACACAGTTCTAACAAATCAGGTCTTTGACAACCAGTCACAGCCAAAACCCTCAATCACTTAGAATCATTTACACTTGTATAAAAGTCAGAAAACCTTTCAAGGTTCGATTTAGAATACACCTCTTGCCTTTGTAATATGATGCAGTTTCCCAGCACCAACACTAGATTCTTCAAAGCTCTTTATCGTGGCAAAATGATCATACAGACTCTTAAAGCAGAAAAATTCACAGCATCACCAATGTGTTTTTGATCGCTGACCCTCATCCAGTTCCATTTTCTGGGCCGTGGTTATTGCTTTCCTTGTTTTCTTTACTTCCTCAGCATCACCTGAAATTCTTCCCCGTGTTTTGGAACCATGATGGGTATTGACTGCACAGGTCATGCACAAAAAAAACAAAACAGTGTGTGTACCCTGCAACAAGCCTCCAGATCTGGGCACATCTCACTAGAATCACAGCCTCAGCATCACTGCCCACTAAGAGGTATTGCTGGTTGTAGCGTCAGATGTAGTTTGGTAAATGAAAAACAGATGTGTATTTCCTGACTTTGTTGTATCAAAATGTGTTAAACTGGGGGATGACTGTAAAGGAACATCATGACATGTTCTTATATACAGTATTTTCTTATATGTATATCAGACTAGTGCAATAGCAAATAATACAGAAAGAAAATCTAGTCAGACATTATTGAAAGTGCCATGAAGATTCAGATCCCCACACTGAAACATGACAGCTACTGGATTAAGATGGTGGTTCATTACCAAGCAAACGCCTTGTGGCCACTCTTCTGGTGAAACCACTGAACTGGGGTCGTTGCCCACAGGTTATTCCCATTCCAGATTATGGCAAGTGTAGAACTGGCCCTCAATTGATTCTTGATCCTGAAAATGAATTTTTAAACATGTAAAAAAGGACAAAACAAGATTAAAATATACCTCAGAACATCCACAGAACCAAATAAAAAAACTAAAACAGGGGCATTGTAAGGACCACAAGGCCCCTGAACCCCTAAAGGCTAAAGGTCTCAGGGTGCAGTCTAGCCTGTCACCTTTAGACTGCGCCAAATATGAACAGCAAGAGCGCACCAGAGGCCTGCTGGGATAGGCTGGGGAGCAGACCAGGCTTCTTCTGCTCTGTCAGCCTTGTATGCTTGCAGGAATGTAAGACAGTTGCATGACGGAACGAGCGTAGGTGGAAATGATCTCTCTTAGTCAGGGCAGAAGAGCAGGTACAGTACCGTATACTCTGGGGGATCAGCAACTGCACCACCGATTCGGATGGTGTTGAAATAAAAGAAGTGATCTTCAATACTAATATTATAGCTTTTTTTTTATTTTCATTATAAAAATGTGCCAATTCTGGAAAGTCTCGCTTGGGCAGGCAATGGGATTGATCCACTTTAGAAGCAGATTCTGACCTGGAATCAAGGCCAGACTGCTGCTCATTGGAGCGTTCCTTCCCAGTAGCCCAACGCACAACCCTGAGTGGGACACAGACACAGCTGTGATGCAGTCGATGCTAAGTGTCTTCCTCATCTTCTTTCAGGCTTGCCTGTAAAGAAAAGTTGTCTTTCACACCAGGGATCTCCAGCCCTGCTCCTGAAGGGGTGGCGCAGAAGTCGTTCCAACTTATCTCTTCACAGGCTCGATCAGCCTAACACTGGCTGTGACGGGACCGATCGAACAGCTTCTCCCAGCTCTTCAGGTGCTGCTTCCGAAAGACCCGAAACATCTGCAGACACACTGTCTCCCCGGGATTAGGATTAGGCACCCCTGAGTCTGCATGTGCAGTGAGAGAGCAGCCAAAGCAGACAGACCTTTTACTACAAGCATGTGGCTGGGGTTATACAGATAGACACTGGCGGATCGTCTAACCACTGACTCCCCTGACTGTCTCTCTTCACCGTTCCTCTGGTCAACCAATGAGGACTTGCAGAGCCAGATTCGACCCCCCCCACCCCACCCCACCCCCATTTTAACTCTACAAATCACTGCTTGGAGTCTTTGAGCTGGAGGGTCAGGGGTGTACAAAGCTCTCTGCTTGTCGTCTGGTCTGAGGTCCCAGGGTTTGTTGGGGAATCGGGACCCGCTAGCCCTTCCTCCAGCTTCACTTATTGGTGCCACTGATGTTAGTCATTCAGTGAAAGGGTTTTCCTGGACGAGGTCTTCGGACAAAAAGAGTATAAAAATGCAAGGCATCGTGGCTTCACGTCGGCGTGTTGATCTGGCTCTGGAATGTCTCTGCCATGCTGCACAGCCTGTTGAAGATCTTTGGGCGTGGGGTCTTCCTCCTTATTGCTCCCCCTTACTGGTGGCGGCAGGTACAACAGGTGCAGACTCTGTTTGTTTTTGTTTTTTTTTAGTGAAGGGTGCAATCTTTCACATCGTCGACGAGCTGCGGCAGGCCTGGTGAGGAAGGAAGCAGAGACGGAATAGAAAGAGCTGAACAAGGTGGGTCCGTTTTCACTCAGCCCTACAATCCAAACACTCCCTCAATCTTCGGAGAACTTTCAACAGAATGGCTCTTGTCAGCATGAATTCGGCCCACACAATATTACACAGTGTCAAAGAGATGCCCAGTATGAAAGATATATATACTATGTTATTACAATTTTTAGAACAACAACTGCTGTGTCTCCGATTTCTCTTAAACCTACATACAGTACAGTTCATGTATGGAGTTCACGGTTTTCATAATGGTCGACAGTGGATTTTACAACCCACGACACTGCACATGACATATTTACTAATAAATCTGTCCATTCCCCTAGCTTAACTCTGATTTGAGGGGTTGAGCCATCATCTGGCTTCTCCTTCATTCCAAACAAATACCCGTGCACTCATTCCACAATTTATGAATGCAATTCGTTGCTGGAAAACAGTTCATAAGGTTAAAATTCGTAAGCCTGGGGTCTAGAAAACCACCCAGTATTACCTAAACAGAGCACTGAATCATCAATGTACTGTAGTGTAACCCGCGCTCCAGGTCCTGTTGGCAGCGTGGCGAATGACAGGCTGGGGAAGAGCTTACAGGCTCACTTACAGTGGGGGGGGGGCGCTAATCACGGAGCAGGGAGGGAGAGAAAGATCAGGCATCCGCTCGAGACAGGCGGGCGGAGACGGAGAGGTCACGAGGGCAGGTTACCACTGGGGGCATCGCTACAATAAGAATAATATCGGTTGCCTGTGATGATTATCGCATTTACCCTTGTATGCTGTTTGACGAGATACAGTAGAGAGCTCATAAAATGCGTAAAAATTCTAAGAATGCACAGGAACTGTGTTCTGTGAGGCCATGCCTTGGGGATGGAGCTTTTTGTTCGGGTAGAAGATAGGACTAGTTATTATAAAATAGTTAATCGCTTGAGAATGCATGCTTAGTTACCGCACAAATTCATAAATCCGGTGTCTGTAAATCCGGGGAAAATAAGAAGGATATTGTTTTCACAGATTCATTTTATTTGTGCATGGATGTGTCTTTTTCTCTCTTATTTCTGTACCATTATGTGTTAGTACCATAGAATAAAATAATTCTTCTAATTTAGTAAATGTAAATTGATACACATCGGTTTTAAATAGGTATAACGATGTTTGCTCTGCTAAACTTACTAAACCACATGAAATGTCCTTAATGTTCTACAACTGCTTTTTCGGGAGCGACTGACCAAAATTCGCTTTCAGATACAAACCCAGGTCTACAGTTGTATTGTATGTGGTACTGTAGATGACTTTGATGGCGCACAACACAGGAAAACACAGGAATCTGAAAAAATAAGAACAGTCTTCATACCTACTGTAGTCCGTGTCCTGCCTTGTATCACGTCTGCTAGTCTGCAAGAGAGGACACGTGAAAAAATAAAAGGAACAAGCTTATAGTAGTAATTGAAGAAGGCGGATGTACAATTTCTTGTAAGTGCCAGATGTAATTGAAGTCAAGGTCCGCACGTGCAACGATGTTGTAACGGCTAGGGCACAACAAGTTACTGGCACGATTTTTAAGGAAACAATTCCGATACAGTATGTATTCACGTACATGTGATTTTAATAGAATACGTCATCGATGATGAATGCTGCTCTACGTGTGCATGTTTGGGCAGCTGCTTTGTGAAAAAGCGCGACGTTGGTTCGATCCCCTCTCTGCTGAAGCCCTGCCGTGCTGTGAGTGCACACGGTGAGGAGGTAAATGTGCACAAAAGCCATTTCACGGTAAGAGCTCAGCCACACGGCTCACTCTCACACAAAGGTTTTGTGGTTCTTGCTTCTGTCTTCCCAGGATGGGCAATTGTGGACAAATGGTTTCCTTTTCTTTGGTGTAGATGTACTTATTCTATGCAGAGTAACGGAGGCTTTAAAGAGCCATTTTGTTTTCTACCTAAAGGGACTGTGACCCCTCTGACAATGGAGTCCCATAGAAATGCTTCCTGTGTCGTGTGTTCTGTGTGTTCAGGCAGACGGTGGTGGATATTGTAATTGCGAGTCTCTGTGGGTGCGCTAGTGGATCTGTGGACTGGGAGAAATGAGGAACCTGTGGCAGGGTAAGGGGTTCGGAGTAGTCGGCCCACACAGTTCTACAGCAGTTCTTGACAATAAGCCCTCAATCACCCTCCCTGCACACACATCAGTTAGATTGCGTGAACTGAAAAAAAAAATCAGTTCGGTTGCATGAATTGAAAGGGTAAGGATTATCACTATTACAACATCTAAGTGAATATTCTTAGAGTGATTAGCATTGGAATGATTTGCATGTATTTTATTATAAGGAGCCTGCACGACACACAGAAAAATCCCATCTTTTGTGTTGTATTCCAGACAGTCTTTGCAGGTCCTTTTCATTGCTGGTCCTTATGCCAGTAGCTATATCACCCTGCAACTCAGAACTGGCAGCCCACTGTAATCCAGCACCTGGATGGGAGACTCCTGGGAAAGCTTTGACTGCTGCTGGAAGAGGTGTGAGTGGAGCCAGTAGGGGGCGCCCATCCCTGCGCTCTGTGTGGGTCCTAATGCCCCAGTGCATTAATGGGAACACTATCATAATGACTATGTTATAAAAAAAGGGCACTGTCTTTGGGATAAGATTTAAAAACCGAGGTCCTGACTCTCTGTTGTCATTAAAAATCCCAGGGTGTTTCTCGAAAAGAGTAGGGGTGTAACCCCGGTGTCCTGGCCAAATTTCCCATTGGCCCTGACCAATCATGGCTTCCTAATAACCCCCATCTATAATTTGGCTTCATCACTCTGCTCTCCTCCCCACTGAGAGCTGGGGAGTGTACTGGAGCGCTTTGACTGCTGTTGCAATATCCAGGTGGGGGCTGCACACTGGTGGTGGAGGGGAGCCCCCATTACCTGGAAAGCACCTCGAGTGGAGTGTCCAGAAAAGCGCTATATACGTATGAGGAATTAACATTATCATCATCATCGCCCGTGGCAGCAGGGTACAGTTGTGCTGTGAGCGTGGGTTTTTCCGCCTACACTTAGGGCCAACAGCAGGCCTCTGTCTGACAGGAGAGATTTTGTGCCGCTCGTCCCCTGCAGGGCGTGTCCTGTGGGATAGCCAGGCACACCTGTCTTGCATTATTTATAGCACATCGCCTCTGCCCTCCCTGGTGAAATCTCTCTCTCACACACACACAGACGCAGAGGATAACAGTCAGCACCTGGAGCTTCCCCGAGTCACCTGCCCCTGAGGTGCTGAGTCATACCCCCTTCGTCTCACACGCTCACAAATCCGCAGAGCAATTAGAACTGAAACCTCTGCTGCACTTAGCTCTACTGGGAAACAGAATTACCCAAGTGGAACAGGGCTGTTTTATCTCCCATTGTTTACCCTTGAAGAGCCCCTGCTCTTCTATTGTACTGTATATGAATATAGTGTTCATATATACATAACATTAAATCCCTATAATGACTTTATACCCTTCAAATATCCACAGCACCTGCTCTCCTCTTTAGATGCCATTTAAAGTCACAGGGGAGCTTGTAGTGATATAATTACTTAGGAGGAATGGAAATATATTTTCCCAAAATTAGTCATTTAATGGCAGATTGAAATGAGCAGAGACTGCGACGCACGCTCAGCACAGGAACCATCTTTAGAATGGTTTCTTCTCTTATTTCCCAATATTTAAAAAAGAACCCCAAAACAAATACAGTTTGTTCAGCATAAATGGAGCTGGTGTATCAAACGCAGGGGTGACTCATATCAAACTGGTAGGCCACCCAAGAGCAAATACTGTATACCTCTTATTCTGTCTTTGTCTGTTATTCATTTAGCTACATAATGAGAACTAGACTGGGGATGGTGTTTCCAGTAAATGCTTAGAGAAAGCTTACAAATAGTTCAGTTTTGCCCCTGCAATGATCTTCTACTCTGCAAAGACCCACATCAATAGCCTTGTTTTCTAGAACTCATTCAAGCCAGAAGTGACAGCTCATATGCTATATAAACTAATAATCCTTTGCGATTATGTAATGCTTTTCATCCTAATCATCTCAATCTGCCTGGCATATCAGAGGGAGTGTGCACATTCACCCTCAGCCCCTGAAGCACAGCTCCCACCTGGGCGATGACCTGCTGCCGGTCTGCTCTAGCAGCCCCACGACCCAGCAGATCGGGTGCAGGAGAGGCAAACGGCTGCACCTTTTCAGCTAAGGGGAGAGCTTCGGTTTAGGCCAAATAGATTATGCAAACTCAGGACCCAGTTAACATTACAGTGGCACAGGAGCAGCCAGGTGCAGTCCTGTATATCTTGGTGGTCTCCCAGGAGGAAATCAACTTTGAGTGCACACATCTGACTTTCAAAGTAACTGAAACACCACACCACAACCACAGCTTCAAGATGAATATCCAGGGGCATTAGCCTGAACCAACCTGAAAGACATACCCCCCTACCTAAGGAATGAATAACTGGTGTGTTCACCGTGGCCTCAAGCACAGACATGCCAGTCTTGAGACATGGGCAGGACAAGCATGTTGTACATAAGCAGCAGGGGCTGTTCTTCTACTCAGTGGGTAAAGCAGTTGCCAGGTCAGTGATGTTATTTTGTATTTGTTGGCTCTGAGCATGAAAGTGCCTAGTCAGCTCATCCTATGGGTCCTAGATAGTACTGTACATGACGGTCTTGAGTGAGTTTGTGTTCATAGGGGAAGGTACTGTAAGCATGTAAGTACAGTAAGTGTGGTAAGTGTGTTAAAAGATTTAAAAATTAGATTACTGTTACTATTTCGTCTGTGCAGTGGGTGGAGCACAGATTCGAACCTGTTATCAACATGTTGCTGTGCACTGAAACTCTTGGACAACACATGAAACCAGACCCTGAAGGTAACTTTCACCAGCAAAGTGCCAACTACATTTGTGTAATTGTTTGATGTCATACTGGGGGTTCTGATTGCTCAGGTGATTTTAGACAAGTTAACTGGTATTTTTCAACACTAACAGTCCCACCCTGTAGCTTAATCCTGACAGATCTCAGAAGCTTCAGTACGTACAGCTGGACCCAGTCAGTACTGGGACAGGAGACCTCAAGGGAAATGCAGGTTGCTGTTGTGAGTGGTGTTGATGGACCAGCAGGTGGAGGTTATCATTCTGGGACAGCGTCCAAGTATGAGACTGGGCTGTTGGAGGTACTGTCCTTCGACAACAACCAACCCATGGCGCTGTTCATAAGAGCAGGGGTGTCAACTCCAGCCTGCTGCCTGAGGCCCACTCTGGCCTTCCTAAAGGTCCAACTTCATTAATGTCTCACTTCTCCACCTGGCAAGTGGGGCTGCCAGTACACAATGGGCACCCAGGTTGGGGGCTGTACTTCAGATGTGGGTGAAGTGGGGTCCCTTCAATATGAAAAGCACTTGGGATGACAAGTGCTACAGTATGTATGTATATTCTATCATAAATATACTACTCCATAACACCCAAGCAATCATATGACTTCTGTTCAGATGTTTCTGCTCAGGTAAACCCACCTGGATTGATAAATGCACTTGCCTTGGTCTAAGTCAGTGCTGAGTGTTTCTTGTAGCACTGGAAGAACTTAGAGGGGGCAGATAGATGGACATGAATCCCTTGGCCCCTCTACAATGAGATGCTTCTGCCCAGAGACATTCTGTCTTTCACTGGGCGGTGGCACTGGGGCCACAGCATGATTTCAAACTGGCAGACTCGTGTGGGTATCAGGAGGGCACAGGGTGCTTTTACACATGCAAACCAGCGTGGCTCAGGCCTAACTGCAGTCGTCACAATTTCAGCAAAAGAGCAAAAAACAGCCAAACATGAGACATCTCATGTTGCCAGTTCTGTTGTTGCATTTTGCTGTTTTTCAAAAACAATTACAAACGTTGAAAAAATGGTCCTGTTTATAGTGGCATTACCAAAACTGTAATTGAAGGTGACTGTTTGTTTTTGGGTTTTACAGTGCTCCTAAAGAGCTTCAATGTGCATATGATCATCAAATGACTGCTTTAAAAGCTTTTTGCCTCCACTGCAAACTTTGCTTCACCTTTGCAATATGTTTTGCACATTTCCTGCAAATAACGGGACTAGATTGAATTGGAAAGCAAAATATGTTGTGGAGAAAATGATTGTATCAATGTCTAAAATCATACATCTTTAAGGAGTGTATGTAACACGGAGACCGCAGTTTCACAAGATTATCAATCAAGTTATCAGTAAACCTCCCAAAGAGGTTTTGCATTAGATTCCTAACCAGTTGGTTCTGATATTTATTTTTATTATCAGGTGACAATATTATTGATAATCTAGTAAAGCCATACACTCCCAGCTACATGTACACCGCATTTCACTATTTCAAAATTGAATTGAAAAGCCCCCTTTTGCTAATATTAGTTCTAAAACATTGAGGAAAAGTGTTGGAAATGTAGCAGGAGACAATTTAGAGTGCAGAAATCATATTTTTAATTGACTTATAGTTTTGGTCAATCAGCCGGACTGTAGTTTGATCCAAAGGGTTTGCGAGCTGACCTGGAAGCGTACAGTATCGCTGAGATGAACCGTTGACTGACCAAAGGCAAAGCAAACTCTGTTGCAACAACAGAGCTTCAGAGCACTGGCCCCGAAGAGTCCTGATCTTTGTACACCTCCTGGAACCTGTGGCTGAAGGCCACATTTACATTGAATAATGAAGCGGGTGACTGGTTCATTTCAGTAGCCGAGACACTTCCTGTAATGCAAACCAGGTCAGGCCGTTGTTCCCCAGGACCGGGGCTGGAGGCCCTGCTGTGATCCTGCTACCATCTTGACCTGGCGTCTGCCCTACCTTTCTGTGTGGACTTGGATTGGCTGCCGGCGATGGCGGTCATGTCAACGGGCAGGCCCACATACACGCCTCCGTAGTTCCTGAGGCCAGAGAGAGGGCAGAGGATGCAGGGCATCAGCTTGATGTGCTTAGAGAGATCCATATCTCACCAGCTAAGAGCTCCGAGCACTTCACGTCTAACAGAACACAATTCTTCTGTCCCCTTCAACACTTTTAGACGCCTGGGCCATGAAGTCGTATCCAGACAACCTACTCTACACATGTCTGCCTTGCTCTGTAAAAAGTGACTCCCTGGATATGCTCTATCAGGAAAACCAAACATTTGGTGAATATGCAATATGTTCTCCCACTGACTCTTGCTGGATCCTGATCTAGAGCTGGCATAGCCGCCTGCATTACTTTATTGTTTATGAAATAGTTGCAACCCAGCCACAATGAAATACAAAAACTAAACCCTGTCCTCCCGTGCACAAATGAGCTCAATTTCCAACAGTTGTTTTTGTTTTCTTTCTTACAAGAATTAAAATAAAGAACCATTTATCTCATTGTCTGATGAAGGATCAGCTTTCAGGTTCCTGGAGTGTTTAAGAGCATGCCTATGATTTATGGGAATGAATATTCAGGAGACCTGGTGGTCTCACAGCCCTAGGAGGATGACTGGTGTGTCTGAAGGTTTTCAGTCCAGCTCAGTTTTTAATCACCTAACTCGGCTCGTTTTGGGTTTTTTTTCTGAACAATTTTACCGCTACTATCAGTTTGACAGGTGTGTTAGCCGCCACAGTCTGCAGTGTGATGTAGCAGATTGTGACCTGTGGAACAGCCAAAGGTCTCCAACACTGGAATTGCAAGTCTGTTCAGATAATTCCTAGCATTATGAAAAGCTGACAGATAATTACAATTCATTCCCGTATCTCATGACTCACAACTTATATTACACAAGGGACAACAACAACTGAAAGCCCTGTGAATGCTTGGAATACTTGCTGAGAAACGTTTGGCTGAACCGGCGCGGTTAATGGGAAGCCATCTGGCCACAAGACGAGGGGGCTTGAACCCCTTTCAGACCGAGTGAACCCAGGGCCAGCTGCAAGGGGGAGATGGGGTGGAGGAGGGTCGCTCGAGTCGAATGTGAAGGGAGGCGTTTGAGTTCAGGTTATGTACAGTAGCTAGTTGGGTGGCGCTGGTGATTAGGAGCAGCTGTGTGAGATTGACTTGTTGTTGTTATCCCTCCCACACTTCAGTTAATAACTTCCATTTATCACTACAGCAGCATATTATTTCCAGAGAGCTTATTTTCCATGCAACATTTGGCAGGGGTGTTTTTGCTCTTTTTTTAGACCTGGACAAATGGGATGGACAGCTTAATCTGGTAGAATCAAGATGCATTTTTTATCACATAAAACATTCTGAATAAACTTACCTTCTTTTTTCATCATCGGATGTGGATTCCTCTGTCCTGTCAAAAGCAGACAATATTTGTGATCTTGCTGCAGCCAGCTGGTGGAGACATATGGTCAATGAGTGCTCAGTTGAAAGCTGTACAAGACCCAAGATCCACCTTGCCAACAAAGAGGAAGAGTAGGGTGGCTGTGGCACAGCAACTGGGCACAGGGGGAGCATGAGCCCAGCAGTCTGTTCTCACATGTCTTACTTGTATTAATGGTTTTGCAGAGTCAGAGAAAATCGTGATCACCATTTATAATGCCTGTTATAAAGGGTTATAAGGAATTTATACATGCCAACAGCTCAAGCATAAACAATTACTTTCACACAATTTCATGTTAAAGTAGAAAGTGTTCCTGCTGCAGCTTTCCAACTGGCTGGAAGGATTGCTAAAGTAATTTTAGCTGTAGAAGATCTTCCACAAGCATCCCGATGACACTGTTCAAGTCCTCTGAGGCTGCACACTGCCCTGACAATACAAGGAGAGCAGCTCCTGTTTCACAGGAAGCTCTGGATTAACTTCCGGGTCGCAGGAGTACGAGTGTCTTTTACTCAGGCTCCGTTTCAAAATCCGCATTTGGCTTTGTGTAAAGAAACAAGCTCTAGAGACATGAGGAAAGGTTCACCTAATTAGTAGATCAGCAGGCAGACAGACAGTTGCTGTGATCCTCACCATTCTTCTCTACAACAGAAAACCAGGAGTCGGGAGCAAACAGGCACGTTTGTGTTTCTGTCTGTCTCTCTGGTGAGCTGCAGTACTGTATCCCTTACTTTGTGTCTCCTTAAATGTACTTCTTCATTTGTAAATGATTTTCATTATTTTCTGGGACTAAAAAAGGAAGAGGTGTCCATGACCCAGCTTCAGTTCCTGCCAATCAGTCTTCCTGTCTAGAGGGCATTTCATGTAATTTTCAGAGCCTTTATTGTTGTTATTACTATATACTGTAGCTTTCTTTCCCATTTTACTCCCAATTGCTAACCACATTGTCACTAATGTATACCCCTGAAATGAAATATGGGCTGTGGTTTGCCCTCTATAACCCTCGATCTTTTCTCCTGTTAACAACATTTCTGTAGTTTGGTTAGATCCTGACGAATGCAATGGAGAGGCGAAATGTGTATAAAGTATCTGGCATCGCCCACTAGCTGAGAGAATGGCAGTCTATCTTTTGGATAGGCTGCCCAACCCCCCCTCACTATTGTGGGGAATGAGCCAAGGAGTCTGCTGCAAGGTTGTAGATGAGGAGGTGGGGGGATGGGAGAGAAACACGGAAGGAAGTCCTGGATGTGAGGCTTATATACATAGTAAATGCAAGTATGAGAAATAAGGATAAAAGTCTTTTCCCGAACCTCTGTTATAAACACCATTAAATGGCTATCCTGTTTTTTCAGGGGATGGGAATTTGTGCCACAAATTAATTTTTTCCATAAGTCTTTTGACCGAAATGGCAAGTTCACCTCTGTGCTTTATCCTATGGCAACACAAAGCTATCCATCTACCCCATTGATTAAGTGCAGTTTCTCTTGGTGATTCAGGCAGTTCTTTGCCATTTTGGGTATTAGTTTAGGCTATTGGTGTTGAAGAGTGTTCTCTTGCCCACAGGTGTGTCTGGGTCCTGAACAAGTGAACATGTGTAACAAGGCCCAGTACGCTGAGCCAGTTACAGAGGTGACGTGTAGTAGGTGATGTCTCCCTCCTCTGAGATCTACACAGCGTAGAGCTCTGCTGTGGCAGAAGACACGGTGGAGTTCCTGCTGTATAGGTAGGGGCTGTGAGCATGCCTGCAGCCTGCGAAAGACTAGGATTGAGGAAGATAGCTCTTTGTGTCTGCTTGCTTTTCAAATGTATTTTCATGGCCTGATCTTGTGGGGAAGGGGAAACGTTAAACTCAAGAGCAAAGTAAAACTGACTTGTCAGCGTGGAGCAAAATGGCAGCTCAGCTGGCGTCAGGCTGCCTTTTATATTGGCCCATTACCAAACTGCGTCTGTGAAAGAGAGCTTCCCCACTAGTTGCAATTTCCAGCGGAAAGTGTATTGTGAGCCCATTAAGCTTTCTTCATAGGGGAGATTTACCAACACCAGAGATAAACGCCCGCTGACTTCCAATGACAGGTGACTAACTGAAGAGGCCTCGGCAGCTCTTTCCAGAGGAGCACACCTGTGCTATATTCATGACCACAACATGGTTTGTTTTCTTCCCGCAGTATAAATCCTGTGTTTTGTACAGCGGCTGTTCCCTCTGCCACACCCCCGCGTCCTTGAAAGAACACGCTGCCAGATCAGAGAGCCGCTGAAAGGGTTTATAATGAGCCCTGATGAGCCCGGGTCACCACGTCTGCTGAGTGAGAGTCCGATCGCCAGGCTCATTTAGCACAGAGACGTTCGATGGGAGGGGAGAGACTTAACCTGGCTTTTCAGTGCCGAGGGCTTGTTTGGGAAATGACAGGGTTTCCGCCCCCAGAGAGCACAGGGCTTGGCGATTGAGGAGGAGGACTGGGCTACCCCTGGTCAGCCTTCAGCTTCAGTGTTCGTTGATTTCAGGTCATTATCTCAGGGCTGGGCTGGGGATATAATAAATCACCAATGAACTGGCTTCATTACTCTGCTCTCCTCCCCACTGAGAGCAGTGGGGAGGAGATCTCCCCATTGGGAGCGTTTTGGAGCACTATGGCTGCCGTCGCATCATCCAGGTGGATGTTGCACATTGGTGGCGGTGGAGGGGAGTCCCCATTACCTGTAAAGAGCTTTGAGTGGAGTTTCCAGAAGAGCGCTATATAAGTGTAAGCAACTATTATTATTATTATTATTATTATTATTATTATTATTATTATTATTATTATATATGCCATGCAACTGTGAAAATTCCACTTTCTGGTGCATGTAGAGCCCTCTGGCTCCAGGTTTTTAGGTGTTTTTAAAAACTTGACAGAGTTTGAAATGTGCACCAGTATGAAGGGAGTCAACATGCAACACAATGTTTAACTTGGTTTAAGTAACAACTAAAATTGCCACATCAGTCCCATGTCTCTGTACATTTTTACAATTTGTTTCTCTTAAATGTGCTGTTTTCAGTTTCTGGAATTTTCTTAGTTTGATAGTAGACAGCAATTTCCCTTTAATCCATGCCTACACCCCCCCCCACAAGGTGTTTGCGTTAGCAAGAAAGCAGGTTGGCGCTGTGGCCGGGGGTCCTGGCCTCATAACTAGAAGGTTGTGAACTCAAATCCCAGGTAACACACTACTGTTGTACACTTGAATGAGGTACAGTACTTTGTCTAGGTTTTCCCATAAAATACACCCAGACTTCAAATGGAAGCCAATCTGGAATAAATAGAAAACAGGCTGTCTGCTGCTGTCTGGCTCTGACCTTCAGCAAAGAGGGAATCCAGGAACCTGCATGATTGATTAAGACTGGTTTAGCAAATTAATACATTTTAACAAGGTTACAGTATGTGCTTTCAAGAGCGGATGTTTTAAGCTCCATTTTCTTTTAAAGTCTTCTGGTTTAAGGGAGCTACAGGTGGTAAAAGGTGCTTCTCGGGGAAAGGCTGAGTGCTCTAGAGTTACAGTAAGACTTTGTTGCTTTTGTCTTCATTTATTCAGTAGAGAAGGATGCTATCACTGATGAAAAACAACCAAAAACTCCACTTCCTTTGAACCAGTGTTGACTTATTTACAGTTATGTGCATGAGAATGGTCCTCTGGGCAGAGAGTTTTATGTTGCAGATCTTCTGATCGATTTTGTGATTGTCAGCATACAGATTTTTGGAAAAATATGTCATTTAATTAGTGTAATAGGATGGCAGTTCAAACAAGATGGCAGGTCTTCTCTGAGCTAGAAAGCAGTGAGCCATGACCTGCCATCCTTGGTCACCTGACCAATTTGAAGACCACAATTGGTTGGGAGATAATTTAAAAACCAGGAAGCTGAGGCTTCCATGTTTATTTCTTATCTGCCTCCTGGAGACAGCCGGCAGATTCCCTATAATGTGCAGCACCAGTAGGGGACAGAGCTTACAGTATGTCAGTCATGTGAATGAATGATGGAAGGGTCTGTGGACGTGAGTATTGGGAAGAGGTTTTGAGAGAATCTTTAATCATAGGGAAAGACTTTGGAGCTGTTAAGCAGCTTAACTGGTCTGTGTGTTCATAGAAGACAAAAAGAAGTAGTTTTGGCCGCATTCAAAAGATGAGCTTGGTTTTTACTCTGTGGGTTTTGTTTTCTTCTCACTCTAAAGAGCTCTAATTCACCTTACAGCTTCACTTCGTGTGCATTATCCCTGAGACCTGTCTCTTTATAGATCCCAATAAAGCATACCATATTATGTACAGTCCTTTCACATGAATTTTCACATAAGAGGGTGATAAACACATTAGCTACATTGGGATCTAGTGAAGGCTTAATTACTTTTTAAAGGGAGGTAGGTAGCTGGACATTTTCCACAGAAATCAAAGAGCCCTGTACATGACTGGCTTAATACTTGAATATTTGAACTAATAGAAAATCCACAGGGATTCTTTTTGAGTTTTCTGTGGGTTTCTCTGGAACCTCTTGCAACACAGTAAAATGTCATGGCTCTTTAATTGAGTTATTGAACAATATTGAGTGGAGCACTGTCACAACACAAGAAGCACATCTTGTCAAAAAAAGGTACTGTACATGTAAATTAATTTGTGGTTCAACTACACCACACTACACATGACATATTTTAATGGGAATGTAATGTATATCCATGAGTAGGAAGGCTGCCATTTCCTGACATACAGTATATTTTCAACCTACGGAAATACGCTTGTCAAGTGACTTCTTCACTAAAAATGTTAGTAATCCTACTGTCATGCACTTAACAGATTATCGACACTAGTTTTTACTAGTTTGTCAATTAAGCTCTTTTGACGAAGGGTTACGTCTGGTATTCTTACAGAAACTGGTTATTCCAAAAGTTATGCCACAAAGTCCCAGCCAGTGACTTGTCCACACAGACCTTTTTCTACATTTCACACATTTCACAGTTATCATGTATTATGAACATAACTACTGTAGGTCATTACATAGTAATGGTTGTATTATTCAGTATTGCTATAGTCCTGAGGATATGATATGTATTACTATCATATGAGAACTGTTTCCGAAGCAAATCCAGAAATCTAATCTGATGACATGATCACAGACTATTCATGGCTGCATCCTGTCTGGAGGGTTTTATTTGATCTCTGGGGAGAGTCCAGAAATAAAATCCAGGATGACAATTTTCCTGTGAGGAAATCCCACAAGCAGGATACAAGTGAGCACAGTGTGGAATTATTGACCCTGCTGGTGGGTGCTTAATTTTGCCGAACTACAGACCTTTAGTTCAGAAGTTTGGAACTTGCAACATGATCTGTGAATACAAAGATCACATGTTTTTAAATCCCGCACGGACAGTACCGAGCAAATAAAGGATGTGCGATATACAGTAGGAGAGTTTCCTAGCTAAATTATGGTATTTGTCACATACATGCATAATGTCATACTGTACAGTGTGCAACTGAAATTGAACTGAGGAGATTTAAAGTGCGTTGTATAGCACAGAAGTGTGTGAGGTGTCTTCTGAAACAAAGGGTCCTTAATTCTGATTAACGGCTTGAGTGCAAGAATGTTTCTGGATGGGCCCAGCAGGATACAGAGGCTGCTTGAAGACCGGAGGAAGCAAAGCTGTTCTAAAAGCTGAGACAAGCGGGACAATTCCTCTGACA